TAGAAGTTATGTGCTGTAGCAGAGTCTTGCACCGGGTCTTGTACCCACAAACAGTTGCTGAAATCAGGACCGTGAGCCCGAGCAGCAGGGTCCATAAAGCACGATCAAGCGACAGCCGCTCTTACCTCCATGAGGTGCGGAGCAGAGCCGCTCCTTTCTCCTGCGGTCACCTTCCAGCCCGTCCATGACAGTGAGTCCTGTTTTAGTCCTAGTTCAGTTCTGGTTTAGTTCTCCTCTTCAGTCCTGGAATCAGTCCGAGGTTAGTCCTGTTACAGTCCTGGTTCAGCTCTGGTTTAGTCCTGGTTCAGTCCATATACGGCGCAAAAGTTCAGCATCTTTGCAGTTATTTTGGTGAGTCACTTAAAAGTGCTGTAATAATCGTGTAATGTCTTAGATTTTAAATGCAGTAATATTGTAATGTAACAAATTACTTTAAAATGACAGTAACAAGTAATGAATAACACATTACAGTTTTAAAGTAACTTGCCCAACAGTGGTCCCCAGTAATAACCTTTTTCACAACGGCTGGAAGTGCTGCGATGTAGGGTAAACGTCGCTTACATTAATGCTTTTCTGTGGTGAAATATCTGCGGAAATGTCTGCCTCATCACCAAATCTTCAACCAACAAAGTCAACAAAGAACAAATTCTGTCCATGAAGATTTGATCCACTAGGGTTGGGAGGTATCCAGATTTTAATACTGTGAAACCGTCTCAGGATTTTACCGTGGTGTACAATATTACCATATTACCAAAATGTTTTAGTGCGACTTTGGTAAACTACGAAGCCACACCGCTGTATGGTCTGTACATGTGACCTGCAGACTTAGGGCCTGTACGGAAGCCAAGAGGGGTCACAACAAACGCCAACGCCGCAACAAATACAAATGCGACAACACAACAAAAAGCCACAACAAAACAAAAAAAGCCACAACGGAAGTGACCGCGGGACTCTGTTTTCCGACGGACCGATCAAGCGCCAAGTGAAGAAGAAGAACTACAATGTGAAACGAATAATGATAAAACAATAAATTACTTTTACTTACGTTTCCATCTTCTCCGTTCCTTTACTTTTCACGTTGTAGTTCTTCTTCTTCTTCACTACAGACCCCTGCTCTCCATCTGATATACTCAAACTGTAGAACGTGACCACAAGCATGGAAAAGTTCTTTAAAGAGTTTGATTAATCCTATTAAAAGGTGTGGTCTGATCTCATTTTCCTCCAAAGCACAGAGTAGATCCTGTGACATCTCAAGGGGCTTATCCTCCAAATAAATAAATTCTAATTCTAGTTCTGTTGCCTCTGTCCATTAATATACAGTCTACTTTGGGTTAGACTAAGGCCTCGAAAAATAAAGAGCCTCGATCCAAATACAACAAGGCTAAAGACTCAAACAAACGAAGCGGCCGTGGACTTGTAACCTGTCCATTTTATGAAGAACTGGACCGTATTTTGCGAGACAAGCCCAGAGTTTAGACGATTTCTAAAAACACCGAACACGCTCACTGTGTGTTGACGTCGTCGTGTCTCCCAATGCTCATGCGCGACACTTTTGGGGCGTTTAAAGTTCGCACTGGAGATCACACACAAGTCGCATTTAATTGGAAATGTGAACGACCTCATAAAAAAATTGGATTTCACAGAAAAATCTGAATTGAGCTTTAAGCCCGTGCAGTCTGAACACAGCTTTAGACAAACTTTATTGATCCACAAGGGAAATTATTTGAACACAGTAACTCACACATCACAGTGTACTTAAAGTAGCAAAAAAGAACAAGACACAGGAGAGAAATAAGACATAATTATATAAATGTACATGTACAAGTCTAAACTAAAATAGAAAAATAAGTAATAAATAAATAAATCTCAGCTACATTATATACAAAAGGAATCCGTGTGTCATTCGTTCATTCGTTTTTTCAATATAAAACCAAAAATAAGAAAACAAAAAAACAACAGTTTTCTTCATTATTTGTCTCCAAAACCAAAATGAAAAAACGGATAACGATTCGTTTTTTCAGTTTTCGATTTTGTGTTTAAATGAAGAATGGAAAAAACAGATAACGGCCGTTTCCCGTTTACGTGACTTCCGTGACTGTGATGCCGAACTTTTGCACCACGTACGGACTGAACCAGGACTGATCCAGGTCCGAGACCAAACCGGGACCAGAGCAGGACTGAGACCAAAACCAGTGGTCTGAGCAGTTCCGTGTCATCGTCTCCACGCTGGTTCCGTGCGGGGAAAGTGAGAATGCGCTGTGGACTACAGGTCTGGATGAGCTGCTCCGGTTCTCCACGCTCAAGAACAGCGGCTGGTTCCGAGGTGGTGCAAAGCATCCGACTGACGCTTTCACACCAACGAAAATGAACCAAACTAAGAGCTTTTGGTTCAAATGGACCAGGTCCGGGACCAGAGCGCTACTGAGACTGGGACCAGACCGGGACCAGAGTGGGCCTGAGACTGAGACAAGACCGAGACAAGACCGAGACCAGATCGGAGGCTCAGAGCCCACGGCAGGGCCGGAGCTCGAAGCTGAGGCTTGGACCCCGCGGAGGCTCAGAGTCAAAGCTTGGAGTCTGCCCCAGTCCCGCTCTGGTCCTGGTCTGGTCCCGCTCTGGTCGCGCTCTGGTCTCGCTCTAGTTCCGGTCTGGTCTCGGACCTGGATCAGTCCTGGTTCAGTCCGTACGCGGTGCAAAAGTTCGGCATCGCAGTCACGGAAGTCACGTAAACGGGAAACGGCCGTTATCCGTTTTTTCCATTCTTCATTTAAACACAAAATCGAAAACTGAAAAAACGAATCGTTATCCGTTTTTTCATTTTGGTTTTGGAGACAAATAACGAAGAAAACTGTTTTTTTTTCGTTTTCTTATTTTTGGTTTTATATTGAAAAACGAATGAACGAATGATACACGGATTAAAAGGTCATAAGGAACAGAAAAGACACCTCTAGAAAGCGCATTATTGACTTCAGTCTATGGACGAAACCCAAGAACTCAACTGTATTACAACAAAAACAGCTTTTTAACTAACTTCATTTAGCTGCTTCCATCTGTGTTAAATCTTATTGGCCTATAAAAGGTTGTGATGTCGTCTGAAACAAGCAACAGTGTTCAAAATCTTCTCATATTTGACCAAATTATACACAACTTTGACATAGTATCTGCAGTGTTAAAAAGTCTGGTGGATCTTCTGCTCGACTCCGTGAAATATACAAGTTTAATGCCATACTGTGAAACATTCCATTTAAAAACAATAATGGACAAAGTTACAGACAGTGAGTGCATTTTTAAGTTCAGAATAAATCGGTTCAAAATGAGCACAAAACCTGTATTCCGGCAGCTGCAAATTATAGCCTGCGTAACGAGAACAGAGGGTGTAATTTGTTATGTAAGCGTTTCACTTTTAACATTTTGACATGTGAAACTATGTTTAATCAAAACAGAGCTGTGTTTGGTTCTGTTTACTTATTACACTAAGAAAATAAACATTATGACAGTAGTTACATATAAACAATATTTACATGTACATGGTCAAAACTCACGTATTACTACATGTTCACAATACAATGACAAACTGAGCTCGAAAGGGAGTGAGAAGAAAAACGTATAAACTCCCACCCCATATTATTACACTAGTACAGTATGTGTAGATGGCATCACGATGTATTATAGACTCATATTTAACATACCGTATTTTTTGGACTATAAGGTGCACTTAAAATCCTTTAATTTTCTCAAAAATCAACAGTGTGTCTTAAAATCCAATGGGCTTTATGTATTAATTCTGGTTGTGTTTACTGACCTTGAACTGATTTTATGTGGTACACGGCGCTCAAAAATCTGCCAAAATGTTTTAGTACAACTTTGGTAAACTACGAAGTCGCAACGGTCGCAACTTCAGAGCAGAAGGAGCGAGCAGATTTTTTCAGCGCTTACAGGTTATGCAAATGAGCCATGTGGTTTTAAGTTTTGTTTCTGTAAACCGTAAAAAAAAAAATATAATAATAATTAATTATCCACCCACTTTACTTTATTCATAATCCACATTCACCAAGACAGGGAGGCAACGCCGGGTGAATTACACCACGATCTGCCAATGGATCGTGGACGTCTGGGCTAAAGCATCAGTCTCAAGTGTCGTTCGTTTGTTTTGCTTAATGCTCCTTATAATCATGAAACTAGACAAGATAATTCAATACTAATAATATTGCGCCCTATTATCTGGTGCGCCTTGTAGTCAGAAAAATACGGTAAATGGGTGTTTATTGTTAAAATGCAGATTTTTGTTGTAAAACAGTGAGTCTTGTCACTAATACTTTTTTTTTTGTTTGTTTGTTTTTCATTATGGCTGTGTTCATTGCACTAAAAAACTTTTTTTTTTTTTTTTTTTTTTTAAATGCTTGCACCTCCACAAACCTTACTCTTATTTGGCTCGGAGGACGGACCCACCTTTTTGTTTCCATGGAAATCTTGTTCCTTTGGCTGTAACATACCACAGTAAATAAAAAATAAAACTCATCTAGATCCATGGAGAGTGTTTTACTTTTTAACTGTACCTAAAGAAAGTTCCACATTATCACTTTAAAGACACTATTTTCTGATTATTGTTATAATGTCTTTTCCTCATCCCAGACAGACCTGGAGTTGTGTTTTGTTTCATTCAAAAACACTCTGTTCCACCTTGTGATGTCACGTGAACAAAAGGTAAAAGCAGCAGCAGAAGTTAACTACCACAAAACTACCACTTCATGACATCACAAGGTGGCACAGAGCATTTTAAGGTTTGGAAATGTAAACAGACTAATAATCAAGAGTTACTCAAACATGTGAATGAAACAAAACACAACTCCAGGTCTGTTTTTGAGGAGGTAACAACATTATAACATGATTTAAATCTCACAAGAGTCTTTGTTCATTAAATAACGCAGATCTGGCTCGTAACCTCGTCCATTATCTCTGCTCGTGTTCTGACCTGTCTCTCTTTCTCTCTCTGTGCCCAGCGTGCGACCAGCTGTCTCTGGGCGTCGCCGCCATCTTCGGCCCCTCTCACAGCTCCTCGGCCAACGCGGTGCAGTCCATCTGTAACGCTCTGGGGGTCCCTCACATCCAGACCAAGTGGAAGCACCAGGTTTCGGACAATCGCGACGTCTTCTACGTGAGCCTGTACCCGGACTTCTCCTCCCTGAGCCGCGCCATCCTCGACCTCGTGCACTTCTTCAAATGGAAAACCGTCACCGTGGTGTACGACGACAGCACCGGTAAGGAACGCCGCGCTCGTTCGTGGTGCTTAATCGCAAAACGTTAAAGGTCGCCACATGCTGCAGGAGAGTTTAATCCGTGTATCATTCGTTCATTCGTTTTTCAATATAAAACTAAAAATAAGAAAACGAAAAAACAACAGTTTTCTTCGTTATTTGTCTCCAAAACCAAAATTAAAAAACGGATAATGATTCGTTTTTTTCAGTTTTCGATTTTGTGTTTAAATGAAGAATGGAAAAAACGGATAACGGCCGTTTCCCGTTTACATGACTTCCTGACTGCGAACCGAACTTTTGCACCGGTACGGACTGAACTAGGACTGATCCAGGTCCGAGACCAGACCGAGACCAGAGCGGGACTGAGACCGGACCAGACCGGGACCAGACGGACTCCGAGCTTTGACTCCGAGCCTCCGGGGTCCGAGCCTCAGCTTCGAGCTCCGGCCCTGCCGTGGGCTCTGAGCCTCCGGTCTGGTCTTGGTCTTGTCTCTCGGTCTCAGGCCCGCTCTGGTCCCGGTCTGTCCCAGTCTCACCGCATACGGACTGAATCAGGACGGATCCAGGTCCGAGACCAGACCGAGACCAGAGCAGGACTGAGACCGGGACAGAGCTGCTCTGGTCCTCCGCGCTCAAGAACCGCGGGTTCGAGGTGGTGCAAAGCCTCCGACTGCGGACCAAATGTCTGGTCCCGGTCTCAGTCCCGCTCTGGTCTCGGACCTGGATCAGTCCTGGTTCAGTCCGTACCTGGTGCAAAAGTTCGGTATCGCAGTCACGGAAGTCATGTATCCGTTTTTTCCATTCTTCATTTAAACACAAAATCGAAAACTGAAAAAAACGAATCGTTATCTGTTTTTTCATTTTGGTTTTGGAGACAAATAACGAAGAAAACTGTTGTTTTTTCGTTTTCTTATTTTTGGTTTTATATTGAAAAACGAATGAACGAATGATACACGGATTGAGTTTGCCTGCGATTTACTTCTCCCAGAGTTCGAGGAGGCGTGACCCCTGACTTTGTGTTTTCTGTGTTTGATTTTGAAGCGGCTGCTCCTCGTGTGTTTGTGGTGTCAGTGCGACTCTGAGGCGACGTTTATATGACGACGGTCTGAACAGAAGACGCAAAAGTGGCGTCGCGTTTTCACTTTTTATTTTGTGTTTAGACAAGTGTTTCTGGAAGGAAATCTGCATGCAAACAGCGACGAAAAGTCTGTGGAATTCGATTGTTGCTTGCCAGGCGGCTCGGTGGCGACTAGGGATGGGCATGATTAGTCGATTAATCGATAATTGATCATTAAGAATTTCGATTACATTCATTTTTAATCGACAACCCGAATATAGGTTGCTGTGCGTAGCGTAGGGTGACCAAATGTCCATATCCATTTTCCACGTCCTGTCCTGGCCGTCCGTTTTTTGTTTTTTTTAGTAAAGTGATGCATATGTCCGGGTTTTCATTACCTTTCGTTGGGCCATAAAATTGAGCGTCTCTCGTAGATCTCTGTGCATCAGAAGGAGCGAGACACAAAGCAGTCGGTCAGTTTGCGACATGCCGAAGCACAAATGTGTATTTAACGATGACTTGTACAAGAAATTCCCCGCTCTCCGTTCCAGTCGAGACAAGTATGAGTCCATGTGCAGTGTACAAAGCAGCACATATGTTTTGTGTCCAGTGGCGGTGTCAGGGACCTAAAAAAAAACATGAAAAAGTTTTGCCAGGTGAGAGTTGCTCAATATCGATGACGAGTCCCCACCTCCCTCCCCCCGTACGGTGTCCTGGTTTTGACAAACGTAAATCTGGTCACACTAACCTGTATTCACCTGAGTCATGTCTTTTACTCTGACAGAAGTTGAACCGCATCAGCGACACAAGAGCTGTTTTTTTTCTTCGCTTAGTTTATGCAAATTAGTGATGCGGTTTTAAGTTTCGTTTCTGTGAGAGTTGAACAAAACTGAATTAAACACATTATAATGTCAAACGGGCTGATGTGGCTCTAGAGTCGTTACGGTTTATATGTCGTAAAGTTGAATTTATTTATGCAGATTAGTCGTGCAGATAGTAATAATAATGATGATCATTTTAATATAAAAAATGTTAATGATTAATCGATAATCGATCGTTAATTCTCCCGACGATCGATTAAGAAAATTTAGTCGAATGCCCGTCCCTAGTGGTGACACTCAGTGGTGATGTTTGTGACGTAAATGTGTGCGTGACCTGAGCAGATCTGACCAGAGTTTTGCGTCTTGGGCAGTGTAGACGGAAACACTACGGCGGAGTGTGTTCAACTTTTCCACTCTGGAGGTGGTTTCAGATTTTTGCATTTTTAAGCCCCAAAACCAATCACCGTCTAAACGAAGGCACTTCCAATACAATATTGTGTCATTTTTACCCGCAAGCTTCTCATATAAATAGGCCCTGAGATCCTCTGTCAGATCATAACAACCAAACATCAGCACCAGGACTAAACCAGAGCTGAACAAGGACATTTCCAGCGCTTAATAAATATGAGTTTTTAAATCCTTATAAAAAGATGTCGTCTGTTACATTTGGTGTATATCTCATACTTTCTGAATCCACATGTTCTGGATAATCGCAGCTGACGCCCGATCGTGGTTTGCAGACGCCCTGCTCCACAGGCTCGGGGTTCTCTCAGGGGCGGTCCTAGAGTCCAAGTCGTAGTCCTGGTTTAGTCCTGATTTAGACCTGGACTGAACCAGGTCTAAACCAGGACTGAAACAGGACTAATCTTGGACTCGTGCATCAGTATTAAATCTCAGAGACGTCTGTCGGTGCGTTTTTTCGTCTTTACCGTTGTCGGGGACTGAACCGGTCAAAAACTGGAACAACCGTCGACATTTCTTGGACCAACTTCTGGTCGAGGCTGTGAATCCCGAATCTGAAACGATGTAAATGATTCTGGTGAAGTCGTGTGGAGTTTAAAACATTATAACTCGGTCCAAAGCTCCAAAAAAAGTCGACTTGGCATAATCCCCCGTCTTTAAGTCCCCGCACAGTCCTGCACCCTCACCAAACGCTGACTCGGCGTTTTGGGGCGATAGAGGTCGACTCGCAGCTGCTCCCGGATCCTCCCAAGTCTCTGTTTTCTTTTGCTTTTCCCTCGTCGACCTTTACTGAAAACAACCAGTTCACTTTTCTTTGTTTTCCCACCGTCTATTTCCAGGATCAGACGGGGGATGATTTACTCCAGAGTCGGTCTAAATCCTGGTTCGGTGGTTGAAAATGGGCCAGTCTATTTGCTGGTCCAGTGCGTGACAAAGGGGAGGTCTAAATCCTGGTTCAAAGGTTGACAGAGGGACGGTCTAATTGCTGGTTCAGTGCGTGAAAATGTACCAGACTAATTCCTGGTTTGATGTTTGAAAATGGGTTGGTCTAATTCCTGGTTCAGTTGTTAAAAATAGGCCAGACTAATTCCAGATTCAGTGGTTACGTGGGCTGGTCTAATTCCTGGTTTTGTGGTTATCTGGGTCGGTCTAATTCTTGATTTTGGTGCTTGAAAATGGGCCAGACTAATTCCTGATTCAGTGGATACCTGGACTAGTTTAATTCCTGGTTTAGTAGTTACATGGGCCGGTCTAATTTCTGGTTCTGTTGTTGAAAATGTACCAGACTAATTCCAGATTCAGTGGTTACCTGGACTGGTCTAATTCCTGGTTCTGTGTTTGGTCTTTGCCTGAAAATGGTGTGGTGTAATTCCTGGTTTGGTGCATGAAAATGGACCAGTCTTTTTCCTAGGTCGGTGTTTGACAGAGGGTTGGTCTAATTCCTGGTTTGGTGTTTGGTCTAATTCCTGGTTTGAGGTTTACTCGGGTCGGTCTAGTTCCTGGTTTTGTGTTCGGTCTAATTCCTGGTGTGAGGTTTAGTCGGGTCGGTGTAATTCCTGGTGTGAGGTTTCAGTCGGGTCGGTGTAATTCCTGGTGTGAGGTTTAGTGGGATTGGTGTAATTCCTGGTGTGAGGTTTAGTCGGGTCGGTGTAATTCCTGGTGTGAGGTTTAGTCGGGTCGGTGTAATTCCTGGTATGAGGTTTAGTCGGGTTGGTGTAATTCCTGGTGTGAGGTTCAGTCGGGTCGGTTTAATTCCTGGTGTGAGGTTCATCGGGTCGGGTCGGTGTAATTCCTGGTGTGAGGTTTAGTCGGGTCGGTGTAATTCCTGGTGTGAGGTTTAGTCGGGTCGGTGTAATTCCTGGTGTGAGGTTCAGTCGGGTCGGTGTAATTCCTGGTGTGAGGTTTAGTCGGGTCGGTTTAATTCCTGGTGTGAGGTTTAGTGGGTCGGTGTAATTCCTGGTGTGAGGTTTAGTCGGGTCGGTGTAATTCCTGGTGTGAGGTTTAGTCGGTCGGGTCGGTGTAATTCCTGGTGTGAGGTTTAGTGGGGTCGGTGTAATTCCTGGTGTGAGGTTTAGTCGGGTGGTTGTGCGGTGGTGTCGGTCGTGTGACTGTGAGCGTGTAAATTGCTCATCTCTTCGTCTCTTCGTGGTTGGACGGTGGTTGGTCGGTGGTTGGTCGGTGGTTGTGGTGGTGACGGTGGTTGGTCGGTGGTTCGGTGGTTGGACGGTGGTTGGACGGTGGTTGGACGGTGGTTTGGACGGTGGTTGGTCGGTGGTTGGGTGGTTGGACGTGGTGGTGGTTGGACGGTGGTGGTCGGTGGTTGGACGGTGGTTGGACGGTGGTCGGTGGTTGGTCGGTGGTGACGGTGGTTGGACGTGGTTGGACGGTGGTTGGGTGGTTGGACGTGGTTGGTCGGTGGTTGACGGTGGTTGGACGGTGGTTGGTCTTGGTGGTGGTGGTGGTGGTTGGACGGTGGTGGTCGGTGGTTGGACGGTGGTTGGACGGTGGTTGGTCGGTGGGTTGGACGGTGGTTGGACGGTGGTTGGACGGTGGTTGGTCGGTGGTTGGGTCGGTGGTTGGACGTGGTTGGACGGTGGTGGGTCGGTGGTGGACGGTGGTTGGACGGTGGTTGGTGGTTGGTCGGTGGTTGGACGGTGGTTGAC